CTCAGCTCACTGCAATGCACTCTGCCTCCTGGGCTTAAGCAATTTTCCTGCCCCAATCTCCTGGGTAGCTGGGATTAGAGGCACCTGCCACCACATCTGGCTCATTTTTGTATTTTTAGTGGAGACGAGGTTTCCTTGTGTTGGCCAGGCTGGTCTTGAATTCCTGACCTCAAGTGATCCACCCACCTCGGGCTCTCAAAGTGCTGGGATTACAGGTGTGAGCCACTGCGCCTGGCTGGGATTTTCTTCTTAATGTACTGCTTTAGGTTGACTGTATCTCTTCATTACCTTTCTGTTTCTTAAACTAACCCACATCTTAATTCTTTTCTCTGATGTCTTGAATGTGACAAAACACATTCTATGGACTGAAGTGGCATTATACCTTTTACAACAATGTCTTTGAGTATAACTAGATTATGCAGGAAATTTTTTATCCTGTAGATCTTGCGTGCGCGCGCGCGTGTGTGTGTGTGTGTATTTTGAAGAGCCACACTTTGAGTTAGGTGATCATTGCTTTTACTGCGTTGGATAGTATGTGTTTTTCTCACACCGAACTGTGGTCACCCTTTTGCCTAGTTTTAGATGTCTGGCCTCTCAAATATCTTTTCTGGGGGAGGGTGAGAGATTTGGGTGAAGGAATTGGAGAGAAGTCATTCAATCAAAGTTGCCTAAAAAAGCCCTTTTTGTTTTTATTTTTGTTGTGTGTGTCCAGGATTTAGAAGAATTCTGCTTTAAGTTTTGCATCAATCATTTGACAGAAGTTACGCAGACTGCAGCATTTTGGCAAATGGATGGCCCTCTGCTAAAGGAATTCATTGCTAAAGCCAGTAAATGTGGAGCCTTTAAGAACTGAAGTGCAAGGCTGCTGGGTTCTGTGTGAGTGCTCTGGGGCACTGTTGAGGATGTGTCCAGTTTGTGCTCTACGGGTGATGTAATTCTGCAGGTAAAAGACCATCAGGTTGTGTTTTTCAACATCTGGGACACAGTTGTCTGTGTAGGAACATATCAAGGGTGTACGGCTTTTCTTGACCCCATTTTAAATAACTTTTGTTTCCAGATAAGTGTATTTTAAATGTGACCTTGCTTTAATTTGGGCTGGAACATGTAAAAGAGTAAAAGTTTAGTCGTTTTTGGTTTTGCTTCCATTTTTTATTAGAGGAACTAATGAAAGTGGAAAGAGAAAGTTGGCAGCAACTCTCCTGGGCCACATATCAATAATCTTCTGACACCAGGAGCGGTGATAGGGAATTGTGAGAGGAATGGAGAAGCCCCATCGTGAATTAAAGATGCTGACCTGGGGCTTGTTAAGTGCTGCCTTAGTTGCTAGCTTAGTAGCCTTACTGTGAAGGAATAATTAAGATAGTTTCAGACGTTTGTTTGTGTGCTCACGTTATTGATGACTTTTTTAACTTTAAGGTATTTCAAAGTAATATTCAGTTTAATATAAGTTAAACCTATTGAAGTTATAATTATGTAAAGATACATTTTTGGGGTTAGCCAAGATTTCTCTTAAGATTTAAGTGCATAAAGAGTAGTAGTTTAGAAGTATCCACATTGATAATGCAGATACTTCTAACATTGATAATGAAATTTGATGATGGTGAATATTTTATAAATTAAAATCTCCACTACTCATCCAATGGTGTTTTATTTCATTAAGGTAGAATTTGAGAACTCAAGTTTAAATTGTCCCCCTCATCTTCTTCTATAAATGCAAACTTAAGAGGAAAATAATGATGTACATAGTATACTCTTGCCTTCCTAAATTATGGCTGCTAAGTCATCATATCTACTATATATGACTGAGAGAAGTGGTTCTTCAACTCTTTTACAGGACTTAATGGAATTTGCTTTATCTACTTTAGGCCAAATCCATCACACATTGGCTGATTTGAAACTTTATCACCTTTCACTTGGTTTTCCTCTGTTTTTAATCATCTTAGGTATGATATTTAGCACAATTTCACCTTGAAAAAGCATCAAAATTATGGTGTTCCTGAAGAGATCCTATTAAAAGACAGTTTTTTTGAACTGGTTATCAAAGGTAACTTTGGGATGTAAGAGTGAGTTTCATCATGTGCGTCTGTTGAGCTTGCTTGAAGAACAATGTTTTGTGCTTTGCTCTCTGGTCCATGAACTCATTTCCATTTGAGTGAGCTCCCTTAGTGAATTTATTTTTCCACTTGGAAGGTCTCTTTTCTGAACTCAGCCTGAATACATTTTCAGAGCCAAATTACAAGTGGGTGAAGACATGCTGCAGCTACTATTTTTAGGAAATTTTTTACTGTGTGTGTATTGTGGTGGGAAGGGGAGTGAGGCCCAAAAGTTAGGAATTCATTGAGTGCTGAAATAGATACAAGCCTAGTAGTCCCAGCCCACATTTCTTGACCATATCACAGATGATTGAAGCCCAGTGAATTGTTTGGTTAGAATTGGTTCTGCAACATGATAGAACTTTTTTTTACTAGGTTCAGAAATGGACATTGATTTGTGCTATGATGGATGGTATTTGTAACAATCACTGTTCTGTAGGCTTATGATCTGAGCAAAATGAGAACTTCAGTGTGTTTACTATTGCTCTTACTTGAAAAAAACTTTCAAAAAAAGCACAAATTAGTTGATTCATATCCATAGATAGTTCACTCATTCAACAAATATTTACCGAGTTCCTAATATAAGTGAAGGACCGCTTCTCAGATTACTAAGTAATTTGTATGAGTGTATGTGGCAGTGAAGAGAACAAGTCCTTCAAATAGCATTTGATGATGATGATTATTTTTTTTAACACTCTTATTTTTCTACTTGGTTTTGTTGTTGATCATAGCAGGATATGACAACTCATGTGAATTGATTTTTTTCATCTAATATAATAATGGAAGCCAAAGTATTCATATTTCTTAAGATAGCCCTAAATGTACTCTTGAACTTCTTACTGGAACAATGTTTGATACTCTAGTGTATAGGCTGTATTCATGTAATATTTAGAGTGACACATTAATAAACAAAAGTAGGATTAAAACAGGCATGTAGAGTTGTTTCTTTTCCTCAAAATCAGTAGTATGCAGCCCCAAAAAGGAAAGAAATTCTGACACATGGTGCACATGGATGAACTGAGGACATTATGCTGAGTGAAATAAGCCAGTCACAGACAAATACTATGTGATGCCACTTGTGTGATGTACTTAGTGAAATTTATAGAGATATAGTAGAATGGTTATTGCCAGGGTCGGAGGGTAGAGGAGAATGAGGAACTTGTTTAATAGATACAGAGTTTCAGTTTTGCAAGATGAAAACAGTCTTTTAGGTGAGGATTCCCCAACCCTTGAGCCACAGACTTATATTGGTCTCTGGCCTGTTAGGAAGAGGCTGCACAGTGGGAGGTGAGTCAGCATTACCACCTGAACTCTGCCTCCTGTCAGATCAGTGGCAACATGAGAACATTAGATTCTCATAGGAGTTCAAACCCTACTGTGAACTGAGTGTGCAAGGGATCTAGGCTGCATGTTCTTTATAAGAATCTAATGCCTGATGATCTGACACAGAACAGTTTCGTCCCAAAACCATCCTTCCCACCCCCCACCCCACCAACCTTCCTACCCCTGCTGTCTGTGGAAAAATTGTCTTCCACAAAACTACTGCATGGTGCCAAAAGGGTTGGGGACCGCTGCTTTAGGTGGATGGTGGTGATGGTGGCACAAAAATGAATATATTTAATGCCACTGAAGCATACACTTAAATATGATTGGAATGGCAAATCACCTAGATAGTGTGATTCTTAACAGGTAATGAGAGAAAACGAAATAGGATGATATGGTTTGGCTCTTGTGTCCCCACCCAAATCTCATCTTGAATTGTAATCCTCAGGTGTTGAGGGAGAGGCCTGTTGGGAGGTGATTAGACTATGGGGCTGTTTCCCCCATGCTGTTCTCATGCTAGTGAGGGAGTTCTTTCAAGATCTGATGGTTTTATAAATGGCAGTTTCCACCTGGACTATGCGTACTCTTGCTTGCTGGCCGCCATGTAAGATGTGCCTCTTCCCCTTCTGCCACAATTGTGTTTCTTGAGGCCTCTCTAGCCATGAGGAACTGTGAGTCCATTAAACCTTTTTCCTTTATAAATTCCTCAGTCTCTGATATTTCTTCATAGCATTGTGAGAACAGACTAATACAGTAATAGGGTTAACATGACAAGCAGTTGTTCTGAAGGTAACACTTACGTTGGGTAGGAGAACATATAAAGTGTCCTTTTAGCTCATCTCCAAAACAGAGTTAGAGGCACAAGCAAAGGCTTACAGATGGGGGCTAATGAGCCTTCCAGAACTTACCATAATCAAGTTTGGTTAGAATGGAGAACACAAGCCAGAAATGTTGGCGATGGGGAGTGTGTGCGTGTACACACACGTGCATGTTTTATTTCCCACAGTAACAGACATTGTGCTCTCTTCTTCACATTTACTGTTTATAGTTTGTCCCATAAGGTAGGCAGCATTATTATCAGATTAAATAATTGGACTAAAGTTTCTCAGTAGTGACATAGCTGAAGTTCATACTTGGGTCTGCTTTAGTAGTTTGCCCAGTATGTGCCGGCCTCATGGCCACCAAATACATGGTGCTCCATGGTGCAGTTACCTACTGCAGTGAGTCACAGATTAAAATGAAAGTGAAGTTGGTGACAAAGGTGCTTTTTTTTTTTTTTTTTTTTTTTTTTTTTAGATGGAGTTTTTCTCTTATTGCCCAGGCTGGAGTACGGTGGTATGATCTCGACTCACTGCAACCTCTGCCTCCTGGTTCAAGCGATTCTCCTGCTTCAGCCTCCCGAGTAGCTGGGACTACAGGTGCGTGCCACCACACCCAGCCATTTTTTTGTATTTTTAGTAGAGATGGGGTTTCACCGTGTTAGCCAGGATGGTCTCAATTTCTTGACCTTGTGATCTGGCCACCTCAGCCTCCCAAAGTTCTGGGATTACAGGTGTGAGCCACCATGCCCAGCAGGTTTTTTTAAAAAAATAAAGATCATGACATCAAAATGATTAGTGAGATAAACTTTGCTAAGATATAATGTCAGGATAGGAAGCTGAAGCTACAGTAATTATCTAGACTAGGGGAAATCTATTCAGAGGGTCTTGGGTAAGGTCTTCACCTCTGCCCCACATGATTCTGATGTGCAGCCAGTTTTGAAATCCACTGGTTTAGATTTTGTTCCTAAGATAATAAGAACTTAATCTAGGGCTGCCATTACAACAGAGATGAAATGTTTTTTATCTCCTGCATATACCTTTCAAGTACTTATTTATTACATGTCAGACACCATGCTGGAGACTCAGTTCAAACCCATTTTGAGATGTAGTATTGCAAATCAGAGCACCATGGTAAAAAAGGAGAACTGTGAATGTGAAGTTTTCAGGGGTCAGATGTGATGTGGTGGTGTGAGCATAAAAACTGGAATAGTATATTGTTAGGTTGAGAAAAATGTAACATTTTTTTTTTCATTCTTACATATTCCTAGTAATGTTCTTATTTAGAGTCCAGTTTAAAATTTGGGTGTTTGTTTTGAAGATGGTGAATTCCCATGTGGTAACTGGCTGAAAAAGGATTTTTCAAAAGCGGACTTTGTGACATGAAGACAGGCAAATTTGGTACAAGTACTGTATCCAAATTTATTATATCTAAGAGGCATTGTGGGCTGTAACTAGACTCAAAGGTTAAGAACATTTTATGCACTTATTTCACATTTACTGAGCATACTAGGTTCTGGGAATGTGATAGTGAGCGGAAAACGCAAGTAAGAGTGTGCAGAACACGGGAAGACTGATCAAAATGTCAGCCAGCAAGAACAGAGGAGAGCTGCCGGGCCGAGAGGAGAGGACCAGTTCAGCAGATGTGTGGAGTTCACAGCCTGCTCTCTGGTTTTGAGCCTGACTGCAATTTGGCCTGACTCCTGGCTTAGGAAATGGTAATCCCTAAGAAGACAGGGATGATACTGATGTAGAACTTGACATAAGATCTCTACTTTCTTGAAGAGAGCACAAGGTTTGTTTTAGGTCGTCAAGTAGCTCAATCTCTTCCTTCAACTGCTGCCGCCTTCGGTGAGATGTGTCAATTTTTTTCTCTATTGCTGTGAAAAGAAACAAAGTGACTTCACATTATTCAGTAGTTTTCTTAGAAATAATGTACCATTTCTAGCCTCTTTCACTTGGAAGTACAGATACACAATCCTCATGCCTCTAATATGATCACAGCCTTATGGGCAGGAGCTGGTTTCTTTATGCCTTCACTTCCTCCTTCTAATTCAGGACAGAATTCTAACATTTATCACACACAAAGCTGCTCAGTAAACACTTAAGATTTTGTGTACATTTATAGCAGAACAAGTCCTTTTGTGCACTGTATAGCCCTCATGCTATATATACTATATCCATTTATTGAGAGATGATAATTTGAGAATGTGGCTGGAATACCAAGTTTAAGGACAAATCCTTCCTAAAAATGCACCAGTTCTTAATGTTACATAAAAGGTTTTGGTTTCATTTAGAAATAGGAAGGCCTTTAACTGGACACTCAGAAAAGCTTAGGAGGAAGATACTTGGGCCTTACAAATAACAAATAGTACTCAATGGCAATGTAATTTTTAAAAGCCTCAAAATCGAACAGTTAAACCTTTCTTCAGAATAACTGCATACCTATAGTTAACTTAAAACATTAGTAAGGCTAAATTAAGTTTTTATCAACTGGGGTATCGAAACCCAGCTTAAGCCTTTTAAGTTGAATTTCATGCAGTTCCAAGTAGTGGCACCCCCTCCATACTATATTGTAATACCTGTACTCCCACCTAACCCATCCAAGTAGTGATGTGCAACATGTTCCCTTACATGAAAGAAAAACACACATGGAAATCGCCTAGAAATTGACACTTTTTAGAAAAATATTTTTAAGCCTGCTTTAAAAAAATAAGGCTAATGCTATATATTAGCAGACATCCTCAAAGGACTGTTAGAACAGGATCATGCCTGTAATCCCAGAACTTTGGGAGGCTGAGGCAGTTGGATCATGAGGTTAGGAGTTTGAGACAAGCCTGGCCAACATGGGGAAACCCCATCTCTACTAAAGATATAAAAAATTAGCCAGGTGTGGTGGTGCACGCCTGTAACCCCAGCTACTTGGGAGGCTAAGGCAGGAGAATCACTTGAACCTGAGGAGCAGAGGTTGCAGTGAGCTGAGATCGTGCCATTGCACTGCAGTCTGGGCAACAGAGCGAGACTCCATCTCAAAAAAACAAAACAACAAAAAACTGTTAGACACTATCTTTGGTAGATTTTTCAAAGTGTTTTTCCTGCTGGTTATAAATATAGTAAAAATTCAATTATTAGAAATGTATAATATAGAAAGAAAGTGAGAAAGGTTGTGCGTGTTGAGATAGATAGGGATATGAACTAATGTCTTCTTCACAGGGACATCCTATTGTCTTCCTACCATATGCTGGAGAGACAGATACATCTGTGGAAAAGAAGTGTGGAGGGCACTCTTTGGTGCAACTTCAGGGGGAACCATCCACACCAATGCTGTGTGACTCTGTGCACAGCCTGCCCAGCTGTGTGTGGCAGCCTTGATAGAGAAGTCAGACCAGACTCATAAACAAGTGGAAGTATAGCCTGTCTTGAGGGCATCTTAAACAATGTTGAAAGGGGGACTCACTCAATAAATGGTTACTATTGAATAGGAAGGTTAAATCTCCCTCCTCCAACCCCTACTAGATTTTCTACTGCAAACATTTCTTGGCTATTCTTGCTTGCTGTTTTTTGATTTTTTTTTTTCCTGATGAACTTTAAATCAGTTGGAACTCTCCCTGATAAATTAAATTAGATTTGAAGATTAATTTTGGGAGAATTGAAATTTTGACCTATCTCACCAAGCGAGAGGGAGGCAAGCGAAGGAATGGTTTATCATTATTTTGCCATCCAGGAGCAGAGAAGCCGCAGGAAGCTTCACCAGCTCCTGCGTGGGCCACACACAGGCCAAAATATGCCCCAGTTTTGGAATCAATTTTTTGTTGTCTCTACTTTTTAAATGAGTTTTTCTCATTAAAAAAGTATTTGTGTGTATATAGAAAATCTGGAAAATATAGCACTTAAAGAACAGACAAAAATCACCATAATCCAACTACCTACAACCAACTACTGTCTCCACCAGGTGTACCTTTTGTCTGTGCCTGTGTACATATGTATTTTTTTCCTCTATGTTTGTGGGGACAGGGAGGGCTCATACTGTTTTTGTAATGAACTTTTCTCATTTAAGAAAACAATAAACAATTCTTCTAAAATATTTTTATCACCTGTATAGTATATTGTTTCAATATCATATATTTCTCAACTATGCTGCTTAGATATTATATAATTCATTTACCTGCTTGAAAATTTTCAAATGTGTCTTCGAACAATCTGCATTCAAAAAGCGCACTCCCAATTTCTTCATAGTCTGGAGGGAGAAAAACATTTTCATTATTAAACGGTTTATATAAGTAGAAACCCCTCCATTTATACATGTAATCCAAAACAGGGGAAAGGAAAGATAGCAGTCATCTACCGTGGAACTTTAATGTTAGATGGCAGCAGCAGCAGTACAGGAAAGCTGTCAGAAATGTCCATTCTTGGCATTTCTTTTTCTTTTTTTTTCTGAGACAGAATCTCACTCTGTCTCCCAGGCTGGAGTACAGTGGTGCAATCTCGGCTCACTGCAGACCCTGCCTCCTGGGTTCAAATGAGTCTCACATCTCAGCCTCCCAAGTAGTTGGGATCACAGGTGCACACCACCACACCTGGCTAATTTTTGTATTTTTAGTAGATGGGGCCGGAAACTGCTGATCTCAGATTATCTGCCCACCTCAGGCTCCCAAAGTGCTGGGATTACAGGCTTGAGCCACTGCACCTGGCCCCCAATTCTTGGCATTTGTACTGGATCAGAATCTCTGTAGGACAGGCCCAGCTATTTGTGTCCTCACAAGCCCTACCGGTGATTCTCAGGCACACTGTTTGGGAAGTGCTTGATCTAGAGAAAATAAATGAATAAAATGGTATAATAAATGAGCTCTTGGAAATGTTTACTATTAATTTCACTTTTTGGTTTTGCCTTATAGAAAATAATAATACCATTCAAATATTTTTTACATTGTTGCCTACCATATAAGCTGTCCAGCCTGTCCTTGTAAAATAACTATATTTACAATAAAGGTTTTTTGTTTTGTTTTTGAGACAATTTCTGTCACCCAGGCTGGAGCGTAGTGGTGTGACCTCGGCTCACTGCAACCTTGACCAGAACTGCCTCAGCCTCCCCAGTAGCTGGGATTACAGGCACCTGCCACCAGGCCTGGCTAGCTAAGTTTTATATTTTGAGTAGAGATGGGATTTCACCATGTTGACCAGGCTGGTCTTGAACTTCTGACCTCGTGATCTGCCTGCCTCGGCCTACCAAAGTGTTGGGATTACAGGTGTGAGCCATCATGCCTGGCCTATAATAAAGTTTTTTAACTCATGGGATGTAAGTTATAAGAAGACTAAGTAAGGCTGAGTGCAGTGGCTTACTCCTGTAATCTTAGCACTTTGGGAGGCCAAGGTGGCCAGATCACTTGAGGTCAGGCCAACATGGTGAAACTCCATTTCTACTAAAAATAGAAAAATTAGCCAGGCATGGTGGCACATGCCTGTAATCCCAGCTACTTGGGAGGCTGAGGCAGGAGAATCACTTAAACCCAGGAGGTGGAGGTTGCAATGAGCTGAGATCATGCCACTGCACTTCAGCCTGAGAGACAGAGTGAGACTCCACTTCCAAAAAAAAAAAAAAGCTAAGTAGCTATATACCTGCAGGTACAAATGGAACTTTGGCTTCCCCAGGATCTCTTCAAGAAAGAAACTTCTTTAACAAAGTTCATCTTTAAACCAAACATCAATCAAAACTTTAAAATTCCTTTTAAACTTTGAGTTAGCATTATTTAATAAAGGATACTTGGCTTATTAAGGAATAGAATTTGAGCCAAATCAAAACTGTACCATAACACTGTTCTCAGATCTTAGCAACAGGAGTGCAGGACGGTGGAAGGAGAGCATATGTGACCAAATCAATCTCTGAATGGCACATTCTCTTAGTGGCCAACCTGTTAGACACCTCTGGAAAATGGACCACAACTCTCACGGCATCAGGGTACTTTTGACTAAATTACGGAGTTTGTAAATTATCCACATCCTGTTGATTTATGAAGGACAGTATATCTGGTACAATGATTTTATTAAGGAATGAGGTAAAGAAGAAGAAAAAAGCAGTATAGGAAGAAAATAGGTCTTTTTCCCCTCCTTGGGTTTGTTTTGTTTTACACCTAGGTCTGGGAGAAGTCTCTATACTTAGAAATATTGCTATTCATCAGTACCTGCTTCTGAAGTAGTCTCATCCATGAGTTTTTCTGGAATTGAATGAACTTTGTCTAATATTTCTTCAAGTAAGTAAGTAAGAAGTCCTGCTTCCTTGCATTTCTTAAGAAAAGGAACTTTCACAGCTGCATCTAAGAATAAGACAAACATTTCAGAAGGAAACAGTCTTAGGGCAGCTAATCATAAATCACTTTATGCTTATTCAGAGTTCGTCTAGTGGTAGATGAGCATACTTAGTAAAATATAGCACCTGCAACTCTTTCTATTAATTATACTTTCATCATACCTCATTTTTTTTTTGGCCAGCTGAAACAATGAAAGAAATGTTAAAGTAAAAGTGAAAATTATTCGCTTACAATAACTGTGAATTAAGAAGATTTTTAAAACATAAAACTGTAATTTTTTTTAATTTCACTACCTTTTGGGGAACAGGTGGTTTCTGGTTACATGGATAAATTATTCAGCGGTGATTTGAGATGCTGGTGCATCTGTCACCTGAGCAGTGTACATGGTACCCACTATATAGTTGAATTAAGAGGATTTAAAAAAATTACCTTTAAATCTTTGACATAACAGCCCCTGTCACTTTTTGTCACAGTTTCTATGTGTTGTTAACGAATGTCTATTTCTTTAAAGAGCAGATAGCTATAGTTACAGGGGTCACAGTGTGGGGGTGACACATCGCTGAATTCTGAGCTCAGGCAAGCCTGTCTACGTCTTCATTAAGAAGTCTATCTTAATACTGAAGGCAACGGACCATTCCAACCTAAGTTATCTTGATATGCTGGGATTACAATAGAGTGGATAGTTATGATAAAGATTTATACTTATTCATTACTACAAGCTTAGAAAAATAAAGATTAAGGCGGGATACCAAGTTTGAAACACATGAGTTGACATTTTTGTAAGGACTGTAGGCCATACTTGTTACAGACAACACTTAGCACAAACCTGTGTGTTTGTCATGCTCTTCTTTCATGTGTCTTACGAATCTATTAGGTGTCATTGTTTCAGGTGCCTAGAAGGAGAGAAAATCAAGATTGCATTACATTGATTTTAATATTGCATAAAATGAAAACCAGTCTTTTGCTGTGCATAACTAAATGATATGCCTATGGTAAAAATCATGCCCTAGCTGGGTGTGTTGGCTCAAGCCTGTAATCCCAGCACTTTGGGAGGCTGAGGTGGGCGAATCATGAGGTCAGGAGCTTGAGACCAGCCTGGCCAAAATGGTGAAACGCTGTCTCTACTAAAAATACAAAAATTAGCCAGGCGTGGTGGTATGTGCCTGCTGTAATCTCAACTACTCAGGAGGCTGAGGCAGGAGAATCACTCGAACCCGGGAGGCAGAGGTTGCATGAGCCAAGATCACGCCACTGCATTCCAGCCTGGGTAATAGAGACGCTGTCTCAAAAAAAAAAAAATGCCCCATATTCATATGTAGATGTAAACATCAAGTATATTTTTGTTTTGTATTATAAAATATCAAGAAGTCTTTGACAAGCACCACTTATATAAACAGAAGGTGGTTCATATGAACCAGCAACCTTCACATGAATTTAGCTTATACATGCTGATGGTAAAAACTTTCAAATCCCCAAAATATTTTATTATTTTTATTTTTATTTTTTATTTTTTTGGGACGGAGTTTCGCTCTTGTTACCCAGGCTGGAGTGCAATGGCGCGATCTCGGCTCACCACAACCTCCGCCTCCTGGGTTCAGGCAATTCTCCTGCCTCAGCCTCCTGAGTAGCTGGGATTACAGGCATGCGCCACCATGCCCAGCTAATTTTTTGTATTTTTAGTAGAGACGGGGTTTCACCGTGTTGACCAGGATGGTCTCGATCTCTTGACCTCGTGATCCACCTGCCTCGGCCTCCCAAAGTGCTGGGATTACAGGCTTGAGCCACCGCGCCCGGCCTATTTTTTTAATTTTTTTGAGACAGAGTCTTGTTCCATCGCCAGGTGCCAGGCTGGAGTGCAGTGGCACGATCTTGGCTCACTGCAACCTCCTCCTCCTGGGTTCAAGCAATTCTCCTGCCTCAGCCTCCTGAGTAGCTGGGACTACAGGCATGCGCCATCACACCCAGCTAATTTTTGAATTTTTAGTAGAGACGGGATTTTACCATGTTGGCCAGGATGGGCTTGATCTCTTGACCTCGTAATCTGCCCGCTTTGGCCTTCCAAGGTGCTGGGATTTACAGGAGTAAGCCACTGCACCCGGCTCAAATCCCCAAAATATTTTCATATACCTTATGCATGATAATCCACAAGTTTATAAGAGCCATATATTTGGTTAGGTGTGGGCCATGAAGCTGGGAAATACTTGGCTCCATAAGGATGTTCAACTGCACCCTCTGCCTGTTTTAACTGTAAGCACCTGTGGGGTCAGATGCTCTCACTAGTTTGGTGCCAGGGGATGCTTTATAGGAGCTCGGAGCATGTCACCTCCTGAAGGTTATGTGCTTGGAACTTCCAGATTCATTTTCATGCTCATCTCATTATGATTCTATCATCTAGGAAATATCTAAGAGCTTCCCAACTATGGGATTCTTCCTAAAAAGGCAGACTCAGGAGCAGTCTTAGCTGAGAACACAAATGAAGAATGTTCTACAAAGGCTGTCTATTCAGATGATTTGGAAAGTACATTTCACCTGACATTCAGACTGGTTTAAATAAGAATTCTGTATGAAGCAAGGTAAAGCTATAAAAACTAAGTCAAATTACCTGTATGTGGTTGCCTGTGAGGCGTTTCTTCCTTCCTCTTTTTCTTTTAATTCCTGAAAATTTTCCTAAAAATATAAACCATTTAAAAATTGGAATCCATAAAGGAAAAGATTAATGTTTGACTACATGAAATATACAACTCATATGCCAAAAGTTTTTACAAGGTCAAAAGATATGGCAAACTTAGACTGCAGCACTTAACGAGAAAGGGTTAATTTTTTAAAAGTTACTATAAGTTTAATGCAAAACATGTAAATAATTGAGTAGAAAAATGGGCACATGGGAACTCTCTGAGGAGAGGGTTAATTGAATAGAAAAATGAACAAATTGGGTCATAGGAAAACAAATATAATTGGCAAAAAGATATGAGAATGCACTCATAAGTGAAGATATCCAAAGGAAAACAGACTAATAAAGATGAAGATGTTTAATAGATTACGTTTGCAAGGATTTGAGTAAATGTGTACTGCTGGTGCTTTTCCCTGTCAATAAACACTGATTTAAAGCAGTATTTGTAATACCATTTCCTGCTAAGTTAAAAGGGTAATGACTGAAAAATGATGGTAGAGGTGCTGTTTGGAGAGTGTTGTTTACCACCAATTAATGCGGTTGGCATGATGCAATACTAAGTCTTTTCCAAAGTGGCCCCAACTCCAGTTCACAGTGAACATTTCAGATTTAGTGCTGCTAAGACACTGCTGTTCCACTCATGAATGAAAGTGTACCCCATAACTCCAGTTAAGGAGCCAGTCTGCCTTCATCAGAACTGAAATGCTAACCATACATCCTTAAGGAATTTTCACTCAGAGAGGTGCAGCACTTTTTAAGTTCTTGTGGAAGAGAAGCAGTCCCAAAAGTCGAAGCTTTTTCTCATGTCTTAGTTTGGTTTTGTGAGTGTAGTTAGAATGAAAGATACCAGATTCAAAGAGAATAGGTCTTGTTCATAAAAAATTAGTCAATTATATCATATAGTACACAAAGCAGTCAATTTTCTAGATATGTAAACATTAATTCAGTGAGGCTAGTATAGATTATTCCTTATGTTACCTAAATGTTTACCTTTCTTTAAAACCCACAGTGCTAAATTTTAGAAACTTACCACTTTGAGTGATGATCGGGAATTGAGCATGTTGTTGGCAAAACAGTCTGAAATATTTAATTTCAAAGAATTGTAAAATATTTTTATTTACAGTTTTCAAGTATCATATCTATTTTTGTGATTAAAAACATACTAAACTATTTTTCATGATGGCATCACACTAAAGTTTTTTTTTTTTTTTTTTTTTTTTTTTTTTAAAGCTGTTTAAACCTGTGTAAAGTTAGTGACCCACACTGAGTGCAGATGGAGGCTCAGTTAGATGTCTTTATGTCCTCAGGGTCTTAGGAAGATGATTATGTTCTTTCAAGGAATAAATGCTGATGAAGTATTATGAACAATACTAGTTCATATGCAGTGGTCAGTGGGATTTTTACTGTGTAAAGATACCTAAAGATCCACAATCTGACTATGTGAGATTCTGCTGGTTTTCAACAACAAACAGCAAAAAATTGCATGCGTTAATTTGAGGAAAAAGTAGTTTTCAATGAAAACAGGTATCTACCCCAGATCTCAGATTTTGCCTACAAAGGGCCTAGAACTGATTGTATCTTCCAAGAGAAAGCAGCAGCAGAGCAGGCTATGATGAAGAAATGAAGTGAATCATTTTATAGAGCTGCTCAGGCCATTTTCTTTCTAACCTTTCCTTCTCCTCAGCACCCAGCTTCATCTCCCTTCCTCTCCAGATGGTGTTGACTCTCAGGATGCAGTGACCTCCTAGCCTAGGGGAAGAATGCCTTTTCTTTCCATCTTACACCAGTTCCCACCTCCTCTATGCAGTCTTCCCAGCAACACCCAAAGTTAATCTCCTCTCGCTTTGGATTCTGGTTTCTTGAGCACTTTCACTGGCCAAGTACTTCAATTTTTTCAAACAGTGTTGAAAATATTAGGATGAACCCCATGCCCCTATCCATTCCTAGTGTCAACAATGCTCAACTCAAGGCCAAGCTTTTTTTTTTTTTTTCCCTCAGATGGAGTCTGACTCCATCGCCAAGCTGGAGTGCAGTGGCCTGATCTCGGCTCACTGCAGTCTCCACCTCCCAGGTTCAAGTGATTCTCCTGCCTCAGTCTCTCCAGCAGCTGGGACTATAGGCGCACACCACCATGCCTGGCTAATTTTTTGCATTTTTAGTAGAGATGGGGTTTCACCATGTTGGCCAGGATGGTCTCGATCTCCTGACCTCATGATCTGCCCACATTGGCTTCCCAAAGTGCTGGGATTACAGGCGTTAGCCACTGTGCCCAGCCCCGAGCTCCTTTCATATAAACCGCCTCCTGCTCTCATTATTCCATGTGCTTCTGTTTGCACTGACCTTTCTTCTGGCCTTCCCACCAGGTGATAACTTCTCTGGGGTTCAATCTATATTTTATTCCTCTTTGTATCTCATAGCATCTAGAAAGGTGCCTTGTGTGTGCTAGGCATGAATGTTTAAATTCAGTTTAAAAATGCATAGAAATTCACCTGTTCCTTGATAAAACAATGCAAGATGACTAATTTATTGAGTCCCTAATTGTTAGTTCTTCTAATGGGTGTGATCAGTATATTTTTTCAAACTTTAAGATATAGCCAGGACTTCCTTCCTTTTTGTTTGATCTTATGTTTAAGGTCATTATAAAGGTCATATTAAAATCAGCTCTTTGGGAAGGTAAATAATAAAAATGAGACTCAGTATAACCACCTGTGAGTGTCTTAGCAAATCAAATATAAAAAGAAGGTGCAGTACAAAATTTACACATTTACACATTTCTTTCCATGTCTGATTAGCAACAAAATACTTAGGGAACCTATTCAGAATCAGATTTAAAATTTAGCAAGCTTCTTTCAATGGTAGGCTTGCCTCTTGGTTTAGAATATATAACCCCCACAACTGAAGACAACATGGTGGCGAAGAGCAAGGACTCAGAAGTTCTGCAGCCCAGCTCTGCCACTGACCAGCTGTGTGACCTGGGGACAAGTCACTGAGTGTCTCAAGGCCCCAGTTTCCTCCTCTGGAAAATGGAGATAATACTATCTCCCTCAGTTGATTGTTCCGAGGATTAAATGAGTTAACATTTGTAAAGCACTTAGAACTATGCCTGGCATAAAGCAAGTGGTTATTAAATAAACAAAATAGTGCCTGGAACACTATGGGAAAAATTGGGAATATATGCCCACTGGCAGGCAAAAGATCAGCCTCTCAATGGAATTTTTAAAAATCTTAAAAAATATAACACAGCCTACAAAAATATTTGAAAAAATTCATGCTTTCGTAACACTGATCTCATTATTCAAGATATTATGATTAAAATAATATATTTCATTGAAATTTAAAATTCAAGTGGAATCTAAGCACATGCCCCAAAGAAGTGAGAAATGCCAGTCTGGCTCTTCAACTTCAGACCCTCTTTTTATTCCATGTCATAGCATTAAGGAGGCTAAAAATAGTTTGCTCCATCACCTTTGTATGACGTATCTTAGGCTACATCTACCCACCAAAAAGAGTGATGCTATCGAACATGATCTGAATCCATTCACTTACCAACTGGCTTACTGATTTCTTCTGACCCAATTATACACTTATTTAACTGAACGAAATCTTTTCTCAGAAGGAAGACCAAGGATAAAGCAACTATAATTCCACTGGACTTGAAGTCTGCCTTATTGGGTCCAAATTAATATTAAAGAATTGTTGGAAGAAATGGACAAAAATTTAAAACCCAAAGGCAATATAAACAAGATAAGTTTCTTTAAGGTCTTAATGATTAATTAGTGTGTTTGCTACATCATTTCTTTATTGTATTTACTAGCTATTTTTAGGCAAGATGATGCAGGTGACAAGTGGCTATCAATTGGTATGATGGTGGAAAATTACATTTATTCCACACACAAGATAGAGGGATACGCTGGTGAACCTGTGGCTATAGAAGTATGGCCCTTTTCCTGTTTGCAGAAAAGAACAGGTCTGAATGCCATCCCTATCACCATGACAATGCTTTCTATCAGGAAGAAGAGGGTTCAGAGAAATTTTTCTTTTTTAGAAAACCAAAACCAACACCCCCACCCCCACCCCACCAAACAAACTTTGTTTTCTTCCTGTGATGTTTCTGTTGTGAAGTCATGTACCCCTGGGCATCCCCAACACTGGCTATGTTCTCATTTGAAAACCATTTACATAAAATTAGTTTTAAAAGTCTCCTTGTCTTAATCCAACCATTCCTTATCCCAGTCCCCCAAATGTGGTTTTAAAAACGTTTTGTTAAATACTTATAAATTCCTCGAGCTCCATCAGACTTTGGAACTGCATGGTCCTTCTTGGCACAGAAAAAGTGGTAATTCTTGTTACAGGCTTTTAAATCACATCCCACGGTGGCTCCTCTTTTATGACAAAATGTGCATTTCTACAGAAGAATAGATTTTACTAAGTACCTGTTATTTGTTAAAATTCAAAGATATAATTAAATGTTATTTAAGTTCCAGGAGCCCTGCATTTTGTCCTGGGCATCATCAGCAAGATTCCATCCTGTTACACTAGGTAGAGTACTTAACATTTGGCTGCTCATTTGGGAATTTCAGCAAAACCTCAGCTAACCGGAATGCCTAGACAGACAGTTTTGTAATGATCTGATTAAAAGCAGAAAATGTTTAAAAACAAACAAACAAAAACTCTTTTAAAAAGAATTTTCAAAAAAGCAGAGCTGGCAAATTAGGGACATTGAGACAGGCAAGAGTGGCTGCCAGCTGTGCCACTAAGAGTGGTGTGATTTCTCTTTCAGACTCAGACCCTTCCCTGGGTGATAGTATCTGTCTTACAAAGTAGCTCTTGAGGATTATGTGAGATAAAGTAAGGGAAACCTCCTTGGAATCTAGGTAGTAGGGCCAAATATTTTTTAAAATGCTACAACTTGGAGTATTAACAATTTTTTCTTAGTTCAGTTTATTTGATCCCTGGCTTGTATTTATCTGGTATTTTATATGTGAGAGTAGTGTCATGATGGCTAGGCAGTGTGTTGCCACAGCAGCCTAATGGGTTGAGGGGAATCCAGCCAGGACCAAGGCTGATCTGCGTGACACTCTGGCTGAAGGACATGGGGGCACACTGAAATTGCCTTACAGAACAGGAGGTCACTCATGCCATAGCCCAGAATCGGCACAAGCAAGCACAGAAGCAGTTAAAGGAAATTCAAATATAGGCAAGAAATAAGGTTATGATAAAGGTGGAATTTCAAATCAAAGATTACAAGAACGATCATTTAATTTGGGAGGAGGGTAACTGGCTGTGTATATAGGAAAAAATAAAGTTAAATCCGTTTCAAAATATACTCCTGAATATAAGTTGCACATAGATTAAAGACCTAACTAGATAATGTTAAACAAAAAATGCTTAAAGATTAGGAAATATAGGAGAAAGAAAAAAGCATGGTATGGAGGCAAGGAAGGCTGTCTAAGGCAGGAAGAAAACCCAGAAGTCACAAATGAAAACTTTTGACAGGCTGGGTGTGGTGGCCCATGCCTGTAATCCTAGTACTTCGGGAGGCTTAAGCAGGAGGATTGCTTGAGCCCAGGAGTTCAAGACAAGCCTGGGCAATACAGTGAGACCTTATCTCTACAAAAAATTTTTAAAATTGGCTGGGCATAGTGGCACACTCAGTCCTGTAGTCCCAGCTATTTGAAAGGCTGAAGCCAGAAGATGGCGTGTGCCCAGGAAATCAAGGCTGCAGTGAGCTGTGACTGCACTACTGCACTCCAGCCTGGGTGACAGAGGGAGAATTGGTTTCCAAAAAAAATGACCGCCTACTATACAAATATTTTAAACTTCCATTTTTATAATGAGGGCATTAAAAATATTTAAAAGACAAGGAAAAGATTGAAAGAAAAATCTTTGCAGCATATTAAAGTACTAAGATTCTTATAACCTGCGGAAAAAAGGTAACTGGCTAATTATAGAAGAAAAAATACAAGTGGCTAATAAACATTTATTCATTTAAAAATACATCAGTATACAGATGGCCAGTGCTGTTGGGGCAGCAAGGTGAGCACGGGGAAGTCTCAGGGATGATCAGAGGGGTAAGTAAGGGCTAGATCATGTGGGGCTTACATGCCAGAGTAAGGAGTTGGGTTTTATCTTTGTGCAAGGGGAACATAAACTGATTAACATTTTTGAAAGATCATTCAGGCTGCTGGGCTGCTGCTGGGTGGAGAACTATGAGCTGGGATAGGGATGGCAGGAGAGACAGTGGGGCAAGTGTCAGTACTCGCTCAGACAACAAGATCAGTGACTTCACTATGGTGATTACTGACATTGAATGAAGTGGGCAGATGGATGAAAGATGCATCTAGGCGTTAATGCCCATGGGCTTGATGTTGGGCTGGGAGGTTGATGAGGAAAAGAGAGTCCTTAGACTTCTGGCGTGGGCAAACGGATAATGACAGTGCTGTTTATTGGGGATGAAGAATGAGCAGTGCTGTTTATTGTGATGAAGAATGAGCAGGTTTAGATGGGGGGAGAGAGAGAGAGAGAGAGAGAGAGAGAGAGAGAGAGAGAGTGTGTGTGTGTGTGTGTGTGTGTGTGTGTAGGGAAGGACTGTACTTTTTCGGCCATTTTACTCTGACATACTATTGTGGTAGTCTGAATCCTAGGTAGGGGTGTGTGTGTGTGTCTAGGAAAGGACTGTGTACTTTTTCGGCCACTTTACTCTGACATACTATTGTGGTAGTCTGAATCCTAGGTAGGAGCCTGCTTGCTGACAGCCCTTGCTGCTTGCCCTTAAGGCACTTGCCCAGCTGTACTCAAACCACCACAGCACTGGCCTGTCCCTCCCATGGGTGTGTGCCGTATATCTGCCCACATATTCCAAGGGTTCCACAAATGCTGTGAGTAGTTAACTATTACCTCAGGTGACTTTTCTCTCTTCTGTCCTTTATCCTCCACTTCCAACCCATCCCAAAGCCTTCCCAGTAGGGAAGTCTACATCCCAAGGTCTGCAGAAACCCTCAGGTACCTGCTTCCCTCCAAATATTAGTGTCTCCAGTCAACTGCCCTCATTTCTTAGCCTGTGTCTTTTCATATCTGGATGACCACTACAATTTCTCAGAGCTTTCTTTAACTCTATGTCTCCCCACTCAAATCCAGTTAGTGAAGAGCAACAAAAATATTTCACTTGAGGTCTGTCTGCTACTTTCTAATCAGAGAGGCTCCCTGTTCACCCATCTCATCACACCTGAAATCCTAGGGATGTGGCCCTGTCAGCACTAATGATGTCAGTGGCCAGTCTTGCCAAGTATTAATTAGTATAGCATAGACACTAAGAGCAGGATCCACATACTTTTTTTTTTTTTTCTAATTTGAGTCTCCTCTGTTGCCCAGGCTGGAGTACAGTGGTGTGATCATAGCTCACCACAGCCTCAACTTTCCAGGCTCAACAATCCTCCCACTTCAGCCTCCCAAGTAGCTGCAGCTACAGGTATATGCCACTGTGCTGAGCTAATTATTTTTCTTTTTTGGTAAAGACAGGGTCCCACCATGTTGGCCTCAAACTCCTGGGCTCAAGCAATCCTCCTGCCTTGGCTTCCCAAAGTGCTGGGATTACAGGCATGCACCACTATGCCCAGCCCACACACACTCCATTTTTATGACTTGCTTCAGGGCCTACTACAGTATTGTGTACACGGCCTAAGAGAGCATAATTTTCAGAATTCCATCTGGACTGTTCCCTTTCACTCTAAACTTTCCATTTCTTCAATTTACAAAACGGGCATAATTTTACCTATAGCTGGGAGTTCACCTAGAGCAATATATGCAACATACCTAATGGAGGATGCTGCTGATGCCGATGCCTTGCAGGCCTAAATAAATGTTTTTCCCCAGGCATTAACCTTGTGGTTGTAGTCAGTGTGAGGTGCTCACACTTTCTGTCCTGCTTGCTAAGATATGTAGGGTCCTTGAGAGGAAGTTGCTGCAGTATGCCCAGTGGGATGACTTCTCAGCATTTTTACCTTCCTAGATAGCCCCTTACGACCCATGGGGAGCTGACCTTGCTCCCAGGGTAGACCCTGATTAGTTATGGCCACCCCCAGCAGCTGGTGCAGAAAGAGGGGAGCATCCTAATTAAACTTTCAGAAGGGCTGTTATTCCATGTGTAGGGATGACCTTTCTGTCACTGGATATGAATAAGAAAGCTTGATGCTCCAGTTGCTGCCTGTGGCCACTCTATAACCACAAGGAGACCAGCTGATTTTGGGGACAGGAGACCAGAGAGAAGAACCTGGGCCCCTGACGACATTATCAAGCCACTGAATCAATCAACTTGGAAAGCAGATGTTTTCTCTGATCAAGTGAAAAAATAAGTATCTTCTTTGTAAAAGTCCGTTTCTTCTACTTTCTTACTTTCTACTTACTTTCTTCTACCTACAGCATAAGCATTCTAGCTCAGATCTATTTTATTGGTAAAGTATATGGTAGTTTATTTTAAAATATTAAATGTTGGCCGGGTGTGGTAGCTCACCTGTAATCCCACCACTCTGGGAAGCCAAGGCAAGTGGATCACCTGAGGTCAGGAGTTCGAGACCAGCTTGGCCAACATTGTGAAACTAAAAATACAAAAGTTAGCTAGGCATGGTGGCCCATGCTTGTAATCCCAGCTACCCGGGAGGCTGAGGCAGGAGAATCACTTGAACCCAGGAGGCGGAGGTTATAGTAAACTAATATTGCATCACTGCACTCTACCCTGGTCAACAAGAGTAAAACTAGGTCTCAAAAAAAATTCAATGTTGGGTTGAATCGGGCTTTCCAGTATAGGTCCTACTTCTTTCAGCTCTCCAAGATGCTTCTCTATCCCTGGTTTATCAGTCAAATAGACTTCCTTTGGAATGCCTCCCCTGAGGGTCTATTCATCCAGTATATGAAATAACATCATTTACACTTACCAACTTCCTTCCTCTCTGGATTTCTTTCTTTACCGATTCCACATCAAAACTTCTATCAAGATTAAGTGGATCATGATCCTCATATTCCACAAGTCCTGAAGAATACAGCTGCAGATTAGAAAAAAAAAAAAAAAAATCCAGAGTAGGCACAAAGTAATATTGGAAGTGACATGTCAGAAAATCATATCAAAAGTGGAAAATCAAACCAGGAGTGGAAAATGGACTGGGGGTAAAACAGTGGCAACTTTGGGGGTGGATGAGCAGACCATAAGCCATCCCACTTCTCTGGGAATGACTCTAGTTTCCAGGCATGTTTTATACTCTGGAATCCCAACCTCTAATAACTCATTGGACCTGGGTAGAACCCTGATGCCAAGGTAGGTCAATCTGATCCCCTATCCTAAAAGTGTGGAATGGGCTTTGAGCAATAGCTGAAGCCACGTGGTAAGAGCAAGTCAGTCCGCAAAGAAAGAAAAACAAGGGCTAGAAAGAGGACATTCTAGGTTCCCAATGGCTTTCTACCTCNGCAATAGCTGAAGCCACGTGGTAAGAGCAAGTCAGTCCGCAAAGAAAGAAAAACAAGGGCTAGAAAGAGGACATTCTAGGTTCCCAATGGCTTTCCACCTGCATGCCTGCCTTTAGGAAACATGAAAAGGCCCCAAAACCTTATTACAAACCCCCTTTTATGTGTAGGTAGCTTAAGTCTTTATGTGCTACTTGAAACCAGAAGAATCTAAATCTTCTGAATTGAAGATCAATGTTTCACATATTATACTCAAATAACAAATGGGCATGAAAAACATAAGGGTAAATTTTGGTGACATTGGCATAGGCAAAAATTTTGTATAAAAAGCAGAAACCATAAAGAAAAAGTAAGTTGGATTCCATCAAAATAAAAATTGTCTTTGAAAGACATTGCTAGGAAAACAAAAAGGCAAGCCAGAGACTGGGAGAAATTATTCACAATACATTATCTCTGCCAAAGACTTGTATCCAGAGGGATTGCTGTCAAGATGGCCGAATAGGAACAGCTCCAGTCTGCAGCTCCCAGCAAGATCGATGCAGAAGGAAAGTGATTTCTGCATTTCCAACTGAGGTACCCGGTTCATCTCATTGGGACTGGTTGGACAGTAGGTGCAGCCTACAGAGGGTGAGCCAAAGCAGGATGGGGTGGCGCCTCACCCAGGAAGCACAAGGGGTCGGGGAACTCCCTCTCCTAGCCAAGAGGAGCCATTAGGGACTGCACCATGACAAACAGTGCACTCTGGCCCAGATACTGTGCTTTTCTCACGGTCTTCACAACCCACAGACCAGGAGATTCCCCCCGGTGCCTACGACACCAAGACCCTGGGTTTCAAGCCATTTGGGTGATACTGAGCTAGCTGCAGGAGTTTGTTTGTTTTTTGAGATGGAGTCTTGCTCTGTCACCCAGGCTGGAGTACAATGGCATGATCTCCGCTCACCACAACCTCCATCTCCTGGGTTCAAGCAGTTCTCCTGCCTCAGCCTCCAGAGTAGCTGGGATTACAGGCACGCACCACCATGCCCAGCTAATTTTTTTGTTTTGTATTTTTAGTAGAGATGGGGTTTTACCATGTTGGCCAGTCTGGTCTTGAATTGCTGACCTTGTGATCTGCCCGTCTTGGCCTCCCAAAGTGCTGGGATTACAGGCATCAGCCAGTGCACCCAGCTAGTTTTTTTTTTCCTACCTTAGTGGTGCCTGGAATGCCAGCTAAATAGAACTGTTCATTCCCCCAGAAAGGGAGCAAATGCCAGGGAGTCAAGTGGTCTGGCTTGGTGGGTCCCACCCCCACAGAGCCCAGCAAGCTAAGATCCACTGGCTTGACATTCTTGCTGGCAGCAGCAGTCTGAGCTTGACCTGGGAGGCTTGAGCTTGGTTAGGGGAGAGACATCCGCCATTGCTGAGGCTTGAGTATGTGGTTTTACCCTCACGGTGTAAACAAAGCCTCCTAGAAGATCAAACTAGGTGGAGCCCACTGTAGCTCAGCAAGGCCGCTATGGCCTGACTGCCTCCTCTCTGGGCAGAGCATCTCTAAAAAAAAAAAAAAGGGCAGCAGCCCCAGTCAGGGGCTTATAGATAAAACCCCCATCTTCCTGGGACAGAGCACCTGGGGGAAGGGGCAGCTGTGGGCACAGCTTCAGCAGACTTAAATGTCCCTCCCTCGTGGCTCTGAAAAGAGCAGTGGATCTCCCAGCACAGCACTTGAGCTCTGCTAAGGGTCAGACTGCTTCCTCAAGTGGGTCCCTGATCCCCATGTCTCTGATTGGGAGACAACTCCTAGCAGGGGCCAACGGGCACCTCATACAGGAGAGCTCTGGCTGGCATCTGGTGGTGCCCCTCTGAGATGAAGCTTCCAGAGGAAGGAACAGGCAGGAATCTTTGCTATTCTGTAGCCTCTGCAGCCTCTCAGGCAAACAGGATCTGGAGTGGACCCCCAGCAAACTCCAGCAGACTCTGGAGGGGCCTCTTAGAAGAAAAACTAACAAAAGGAATAACATCAACATCAACAAAAAGGACATCCACACAAAAACCCCATCCAAAGGTCACTAACATCAAAGACCAACGTAGATAAATCCATGAATAGGAGGAAAAACCAGCTCAAAAAGACTGAAAATTCCAAAACCCAGAACACCTCTTCTCCTCCAAAGGATCATAACTCTTCACGAGCAAGGGAACAAAACTGGATGGAGAGTTTGACAAACGGACAGAAGTGGGATTCAGGTGGGTAATAACAAACTCCTCCGAGCTAAAGGAGCATGTGCTAACCCAATTCAAGAAAGCTAAGAACATTGAAAAAGGTTAGATGAATTGCTAACTAGAATAACCAGTTTAGAGAAAAACATAAATGACCTGATAGAGCTGAAAAACACAGCACAAGAACTTCATGAGGCATACACAAGTATCAATAGCTGAATCCATCAAGTAGAAGAAAGGATATCAGAGACTGAAGATCAACTTAATGAAATAAAGCAAGAAGATGAGATTAGAGAAAAAAGAATAAAAAGGAAAGAACAAAGTCTCCAAGAAATATGGGACTATGTGAAAAGACCGAATCTACATTTGATTGGTGTACCTGAAAGTGATGGGAAGAATGGAATCAAGCTGGAAGACAATCTTCAGGATATTATCCGGGAGAGCTTCCCCAACCTAGCAAGACACACCAACATTCAAATTCAAGAAATACATAGAACACCGCAAAGATACTCCTTGAGAAGAGCAACCCCAAGACACACAATCGTCAGATTTACCAAGGTTGAAATGAAGGAAAAACTGTTAAGGGCAGCCAGAGAAAAACGTTGGGTTACACACAAAGGGAAGCCCATGAGACAAACAGCAGATCTCTCTGCAGAAACCCGACAAGCCAGAAGAGAGTGGAGGCCAATATTGAACATTCTTAAAGAATTTTCAACCCAGAATTTCATATCCAGCCAAATAAATACAAATCAGATCCCACAGAAATACAAACTACCATCAGAGAATACTATGAACACCTTTACGCAAATAAACTAGAAAATCAAGAAGAAACTGATAAGTTTCATAAGTTAAGGGAAAATAAAATCCTTTACAGACAAGCAAATGCTGAGAGGTTTTGTCACCACTAGGCCTGCCTTACAAGAGCTCCTGAAGGAAGCACTGAACATGGAATGGAACAACCGGTACCAGCCATTGCAAAAACGTACCAAATTGTGAAGACCATCAACACTATGAAGAAACTTTATCAACTAATAGGCAAAATAACCAGCTAGCATCATAATGACATGATCAAATTCACACATAAAATATTAACCTTAAATGTAAATGGATTAAAGACCCCAGTTTAAAGGCACAGACTGGCAACTTGGATAGAGTCAGGACCCATCATCAGTGTGCTGTATTCAGGAGACCCATATCACACGCAAAGACACACATAGGCTCAAAATAAAGGGAGGGAGGAATATTTACCAAGCAAATGGAAAGAAAAAAAAAAAGGCAGGGTTTGCAATCCTAATCTCTGATAAAACAGACTTTAAACCAACAAAGATCAAAAGAGACAAATATGGGTATTACATAAAGGGATCAATGTGACAAGAAGCGCTAACTATCCTAAATATATATGGACCCAATACAGGAGCACCCAGATTCATAAAGCAAGTTCTTAGAGACCTACAGAGAGACTTAGACTCCCACACAATAATAGTGGGAGACGTTAACACCCCACTGTCAATATTAGACAGAGCAGCGAGACAGAAAATTAACAAGGATATTCAGGACTTGAACTCGGCTCTGGACCAAGTGGACCTAACAGACGTCTACAGAACTCTCCACCACAAATCAGCAGAATATACATTCTTCTCAGTACCACATCACACTTATTCTAAAACTGACCACATAATTGGAAATAAAATATGCCTCAAAATGCAAAAGAACAGGAAATCATAACAGTCTCTCAGACTACAGTGCAATCAAATTAGAACTCTGGATTAAGAAACTCACTCAAAACCGCAAAACTACATGGAAACTGAACAACCTGCTCCTGAATGACTACTGGGTAAATACTGAATTGAAGTCAGAAATAAAGAAGTTCTTTGAAACCAATGAGAACAAAGACACAATGTACCAGAATCTCTGGGACACATTTAAAGCAGTATCTAGAGGGAACTTTACAGCACTAAGTGCTTACAAGAGAAAGCAGGAAAGATCTAAAATTGACACCCTAACATCATAATTAAAAGAACTAGAGAAGCAAGAACAAACAAATTCAAAAGCTAGCAGAAGAGAAGAAATAACTAAGAGCAGAACTGAAGGAGACAGAGACACGAAAAACCCTTTCAAAAAAAAAAAAAATCAATGAATCCAGGAGCTGGTTTTTTGAAAAGATCAACAAAATAGATAGGTAGCCAGACTAAAAAAGAATAAAAGAGAGAAGAATCAAAAAAACGCAATAAAAAATGATAAAGGGAATATCACCACCGATCCCACAGAAATACAAACTACCATCGGAGAATACTATGAACATCTCTATGCAAATAAACTAGAAAATCAAGAAGAAATGGATAAATTCTTGGTCACAGACACCCCCTCCCCAAGACTAAATCAGGAAGAAGTT